CTATGACTTTGTGTTCTGTCAGAATCAGCTTTATTGGCCAAGCATGTGAACACATACAAGGAATTTGACTCTAATAGGCACACAGCAGCAACAAAACTTAACAATGTCAGTTTTGTATCCTGAGTCTCTTCAAGAAGAACAGTCTGTTCTGTCCCTCCCAGGAGAAGGCTTCAGTGCTTTGAGTCCAATTTTTGTTTGATTTAGATAAGGTACTTGTATGAGTCCACCCTCTTCACTTAATCTCCAACCAGGACAGGGGGTCTGCTGTTCCTCTGGTAGTCCACCACTCATTGGTTTTGCTGATATTGAGCTTCCGGTAATATTTGTTGCACCATGATACTAGGTTCTCTATCAGACCTCTGTAATGTAGTCTCTAAGTGAAGTTACTAACTAAAGAATGTTTTTCACTGAAAATTATTCACTGGAATAATACATGTCAACATAGTGATAACTTCCATTTCACCACAAAAAATATGCTTATACTTTTTATTAAATTCATTCAAAGGAGGAGGCATAGAGTGGTAAAGCAGTAATTCTAGTTATGCTAAGCTGACCATCTGCTGGTTATAGCTTCATATTTACTGTACAAATATGGGAGTGGTATCAATCTTCTCATGTAACTCTCAGCAACAAAGCAAACAGGTTGACATTTCCTAGAATGTCATTTTTCTCTCTGCATTTGTGTTGGACCAATGACTATCTACAAAACTATATTTACTTATACCTGAGGAAAAAACAGATGTGCATGGGTGAATTTCTTGTAAAAAGACAAATTTCACACATTTACAATATTTTTCTCAAACCTTCCATTTTAATATTGCTGATTATTATAATCAATACAGTCTCTGACATACATCCTACTCAGTCTTCCTGTTGCCCCAGGTATCCTCAAAGTTGTCTGTTTCATTCATATTTAAATTATTTAAAAAAAAAAGAAAAAAAAGACTAGAACTGAGCTCTTAAAACCTTCCTCCAGGCAGTGGAATCAGAGAGGCGTGCAGCGCGAGAGAGCATGATAATTTGAGAATACCATCAAATTTGTTTTTACATGTCTTTTTTCCCCTTTTGTCCAACTGTAATAAGCGTTTGCCAAGATTCTCTTAACGAAGAAGAAGGCAGATGACAGACATGGCAGTCGATCCATCTGGTGTGTCTGCTGAGTCTCCGTCATCACCTTACTGTGAACACCTCGCTCTCTACCATGCCAGCCTTCTGCACCTCCATCTTTACTTACCAGCAGCAACACATTTGCAAGTTAAGTTTGTTTGTACAGCCTTCTTAATCACAGTTACAGTCTCAAAGGGCTTCCCAACGCCCACATTATGGGAACAATAAATGCATGCAGTGACCCCCTTCAACTTTTAGACTCTCAATGAGCAAGAAAAACTCCCACTAAACCCTCCGTCTCCAATGTGAGTAGGTGTGTGTGAGAGAGCATTTGTTTGTGTGCATGTGAAAGAGATAGAGAGAGATAGAGAGAGATGCCAGACATGGCTTCATAAACTTTTGACGCATTTGTTTACATGTTTTAACTTTCTGAATAAATTACATATGGCCAACTGTATTATGCGGTGGTGTTTGACTTAATTAATAATGGTTTGGTCATACTGTTTCAGCTGAGCAGTCATGTAAGGAGTTGATCTGAGAGAAAAGGGACAAAGACAAAGAGGGAAAAAATAAACTGAAAAAAAAGTGCTGATACCACAAGGCAGGGAGTCTTACTCTGTTCACGGAGTGAGACTGTAAGAGCCGTGCAATTTTTGTTCAGCAGGGTAGTTTGTAGATGTCTTTGGCAGCAGCAGTATGTGATGAGCCTGCAGACAAGATCCTAAGAGAAGGCTGAAAGAGGGACTAGACAGGAGATTCATCCCAATGAAATAACCAAGAAACAGCCTGTACTTTACCTACCTCTGTGTGTGTGTGTGTGTGTGTGTGTGTGTGGCTGTTGTGCAAAAGAATGCCAGACAAAAATAATGAGACTGTATATGTGTGTAAAAGCCTAATCTTGTATATATGCTTATGAGGAAGTGTAACCTCAGTAAAATGGTGTGGGTTGGTACACTGTGGAAATTATTCCAGTCAGAAAATCCTTTGTTATAGGAGAGATTGTTTATTTCAAGAACCTGAGTTGGATTTGTAGGTACTGTATGAGTGTGTGTGTGTGTGTGTATGTGTGTGTCACAAATGTGACTGTTATTTCTGTTAAACAATAGCTAGCTCTTCTAATATAACCAAAATGATTAATTGATTATCAAATAAGTGGCAACTAATAATTAATTAAATGAGTTTTGCAGCTCTAGATGCAGGCGGAAAATTTGCATGAAGGCATTATAATATTAACGAAAGAGGGATGCAGACCAACCAAAAAGAGGGGCTACTTCTGTTGCATGTGGTTGAAAATAGTCAAAAAGTGTTTTCTATTTATCTATTTTTATAAAGCAATGTGTTGAGAGGGAGAGAGAGAGAGTCTGTAAATGTGATGTCACCTTATTAAGAAGTGGAACTGGTAAGCTTCCTACAACGATCATAAATCTTCATTAAAATAAACATGAATTATCCTATTTTCATTTAAAACTACAAAACATTTACCGACCCTTCCTGATGGTCTTTAAGTGTTTTTGTAATCAGTTGTACAATTCTGCTTAATAGCCTCATCACTGATATCACCCCCCATTTGTTTGGAGAGAGAAATCAGAGACTGAACAAGTGCCTTAAAAACTATTTATTTCCAGTGGCTGCAGTTCAGAGGATAGTCAATTACCACAAGTAATGTGAGTCATTTATCAAGCATAAATATAATGAAGGTTTGTGTGGAAGCAATTAAATCGTTAAAGTTATCATCCACCCTTTGGACTAACATTGTAATGAGTTAATTGTGTTTTAAAGTGTTACATGGAGGAAAGAGGTTTGGGACTGGAAAGACGTGTGCAACTTTTGAAGCAGGTATGCTATGTGTGCACAAGTTTGATCACTGCAGTCTATAGTTTTGCACATGATGAGGATCTTGTTGGACACTGTCAACCTTTCTGAGGTGACAGTAATGTCAGATATGTATTAGGTATTTAAGTTTACATCTGACATCAGGATAGGTGATCAACTAATCAAGTTATTAAGTAGTATAAAACAGACACTTTTGAGAATAAGGTTAAAGCTATAGCATCTTTTTAAATATTTTTGCTTTTCAGCTGCCCTGAAAGAAGATGTGTTGTTCACATATAGAAATAGTGGTCTTCAACAAACAATACATAAAAGTATTAAGTTATTCCTCAATAAGAATTAATGAAAGTATAAATAAGGTTCTCAATTTCATAGTAGTGTTCAGTTAAAAGAACTGTCACCTCAAAATCCAGTCCATGAACAGAGTTTGTGTCCAGATGCGACATTATTTTGACTTTTGACTTTTGACTTTCCCAGCAACAGCTGGTGGCTAGCTATGTTAAGCTATGTTAATCATATTTAACGTACAGGGATGAGAAGGGTGTCAATCTTCTTATCTAACTCTATGCAAGAAAGAGAATTAGCATTTCCTAATATGTTGCACTATTCATTCAATTTACAGAACTATTATGAACACAGTTATAATATTTTGGAGAAAATACTTTTTTTTGTAAAAAATTTGTTCAAATTTGTTCAAATTTGTGCACTTTAGAGGTGCTAGTAGGGATATTTTTGACTGTTCAACTGCTCCCCTCTGCTTTGAATTTTTAGGCTATGCTAAGGTAACCTAAGCTCCGTACTTAAGACATGGTGTCGATCCTCTTAATCTAATTCTCGGATAAAGTGAATAAGATTATTTCCCCAAATGTCTAAATACTGCTATAATGGTTCTAAATTGTCCCATCATAAAATAAATGTCCTTCAAAGATTTCTACAAATGTCATATAATATTATTATACGTTATTCATTGTGCCACTTCAATAAGTGACATTAAACATTGACATTGTTTTTGGGAGGAGTTTTACATCAGCATGAGCGATGACTTGTGATTGACCTTTTATTCATATGGAGATTCATCACTAAACCAAGTGAGCCCCATCCAACCATCTGAGCAGCTAAAAGCATATTTATTGCCTGATGTGCATCTTAATTGCTCATATGAGGATGCCTTATCCCATAATTGTTTTCAGAATTATGATCCATGTGAGTTATGACCAGTTCTGTGAAATATTATGCATATACTTTTGCTCATCATATCAATGTATCTTAAGCTATTGAGTATACAGATGGATAATAGTCTTGATCTGCATAATCCATCATATCTCATCATGCAAAGTTGGACTGCCTCATTCAGATTGATATCCTCCGGGCCATATGTTACAGCAGGAGCTTGGATTACAAATTCCACTGCACCTATAAAACTCACTTGCAGAAATTGGATGCCATATGGCCGATAGACGGCAAAAAGCTATTGCACTGGAATGACTGGGATTCTGGGGAGAAGAAAAAAGCCAAATCAAATTTAAAGCAACTGGATGAAGTTGAGTTTCAGCCTGTAACCCGCTTTTAATCCCAACTTTAATCTAGATTACATCCACATCTGGCATGTCCTTACGTGCCTCCACATCCTTGAACCCCATGGTGTAACTGACCATCTTTCTCAGAAAAAAGGGGCTTGACTCACTCGTTCTGGAGGCCACCCCAGGATTTCACAGAGGATGAGAGGATTAGTTTATCCCAGACCTGAAGATGTAACATTAAGCAGAAATTCTTTTAGCAATGGTCCGCATCTGCAAACCGCAGATTTGTAGAGACACATGGCACCCTTCCAAACTGGTGTAATTGTGTACATGAAAACAAGGAGGTGATGTAAGAAGGGGATTGTCACAGAATTATTGTTCACAGAATACTTATCTGTGTGTTTGACTTGGACAGATGTCTCCATTTCTTGTTCTCTCAGAAATGTTCAGCTGTAGGACTCTGATTGAGCATCCCAGGCTAGAAAAGGAGATTAGACTGTCATACCCAGAACAAACCAAAAAACTATAGCCCAGAAAATGGATTTCTCTCAGATTACTAGGAGAGCTTTTATTTGGAGCATTGCAAAGTACACGTCATGGTTGTTAGCGTTCATTCTCTCACACTCACACAACCTCTCTCTCCAACACAAACACTCTTTTCTTTCTCTGCATCCTTTCATTTTCTTGTCAGCTGATTTAAAAAACAAAACTATTTGGATTATAACTTATTACTTACTGTAATATCCTCAAACAGTTTACCTGGAGTTTGCGGTAGAGAACAGATAAACCATAACCCCTTTGAGTCCAAGCATACAAACATACATGAGAGAAACTATTAGTTTGTTATATTTCTTCTCAGAACATGGCTTCAAGCTTTTAAAAAATAAACTAAGATGAGCACTTCTTTTAATTCTTGACATAAAAGTAGAGTATGCAGTATGAGACAATTTTTTAGCTCATACCGTAGGCAACATATTCAAAAGTAATAGGAATAAAACTAAAAGTTGCAGTTGGGCTTATACGTATTTTCACAGTGGAAGGAAAAGCAACTTTGGATTGAATATTGCATGTTTATGGAAGCAGCCAGTTAGTAATATAGGCTTTCTGGTCAGACAAACTGGACCGTCCAATTTAAAGGGTTTTCAGTCTTTCAGGTTCTGTGCAGTCACAGTATGCACACTTTTTATTGTTATTATTAGCAGGACCAAAGAGCAACAGAAATGCTGTTTGTTTCATCCCCTTTTGTCCAATGCAATACAGATACCTTCCTCAGAACCTTGTGGGAAGTGAGGCCTTTGGAGCAATAGTCATTTTATTAGAGATTTGTGTACTCATATCTTCTTGGAAGTTTAGGATTGAGTCAGTCAGTGTGAGCACTGTTCAGAAAGCTGCTGCTGGCAGGCTGTGGTTGTTATTTCCTGCAGTTTCACTACCTTTCCCTAACAGAGCGAGAGACTCCAGAGAGTGCACGCTATCCTTGTCTAGACGCAATCCCAGCCCAGGTGGAGCTGAGTCTCCTTCACCTCCCACCTCCTGCAGCTCCCCAGTGGCAGCAGCAGCAGCCGCAGCGGCCGCACACTCCTCTTTGAACAATCGGTCGTGCTCCATCTTGAGCTCTTGGTAGGAGCGGGAGAACATGTGGAAGATGGAGGTAGCAGGGAAGGCCATGATGAGGATCCCGCTGAGGATGCTGCTCAGTGCTACAACTTGTCCTGGAATGGACCTAGGCACCATGTCGCCGTAGCCAACGGTCGTCATGGAGATAATGGCCCACCAGTAGGAGGCGGGGATGCTGCTGAAGTCATGGGTGCCTGTGAGCTCACTCTCAGCCAAGTGGACCAGCGGGGAGAATAGAGTGACAGCCACGCAGAGAAAAAGCAGGAGGAGGCCAAACTCCCGGGTGCTGCGCCTGACCGTCAGCCCCAGCGTCTGCAGGCCAAGAGAATGGCGAGCCAGCCGCATCACATAGAGAATCCTCAGGGCCCTCAGAATCCTCAACACCAGGCCCAGCTTGTCCAAGTAGCCCTTACCTCCTCCTGGCCTCTCGTGCTCCAGTTCTGGATCCTCCTCTGACACCACCAGGGAGACGTAGTAGGGAAGGATGGCCATGGCATCGATGATGTTGAGCGGCCCACGGAGGAAGTCTAGCTTGCTGGGGGCCTGAATGAACCGCACGATGAACTCCAGGGAGAACCAGGCCACGCACACCGTTTCTATGATGAACATGTTGTAGCACTTGGAGGAACACTCACCCTGAGGTAGAGAGGGAAGGCGAGGGGGTTGGGGGGAGCAAGAGACAGTCAGAGACAGAGAGATTGAGGATAAGAGGAGCGGGAGTTTGACAGGGAGCAAGACAGATGGAGTAGAAGGCATGGTGAGATGGGGAGAAGACAAAAATCTTGAGGTCAGATTATCACCCTCGGTAATCATTAATAAGTCATGAGCTACAGTCACTCAGTATGCTAAAGCTACTGCTGCAGCACTGATAGATAACACAGTGACACAATCTATCAATTATTTTATTAGGGCAGGTTTCAAAGATTAATATGACAGTCAGTGGGAGCGGTGACAGAAAGCAATCAGGTTTGCATGCCCTCTCACTACAGTATCAAGGAAGAGCAATGCAATAATGAACAACCCTATAGGACAATACAGTGGAGATTTTAGAGTACAGAACCCTGCTGTTAACTTCAAAGCTTTGTCCCATGCCATCACACAGCTATCTCTGTTGCTTTCCCTGTTTCTACAAATTAGCCCTTATTGCTCTCCCTCACATTCCCAAACCCCACTGCAGAAAATAACTAGAATTACATATTGTATTGTTGAGTCCTTTTTAATTCCTAAAGCAGCAACCAATACTTAAAAACTACTAAAAAGATACATTCCCACTAATAATTGTTGCTGCTGTTTAATTTAGTGGGGAAATTTAGGTAGCTAGTTTAATCCTTCAAATGTGCGTTGTCAGTTTTTAACAGTTACAGTTCCATTAAAGAAATACTAAAGCTTAGAATAATGATTTGTTGAAGTAATCTGGTCCGGGTATGCTTGAAACAAATGAGTGTGTTGTCCGATAACGTCTGAAGGCAAAAGCGTTTATAGCTGTCCCAAATTTCCTCACTTGAAAGTGGGGCTAAAAGCCCGTCATCATAGAGATGGGCGAGACACCGTGAATTGTACAAATGGGGATAATGGTGCATATTTTTGGCTAGTCCCTCCTCAAAGGCATTTAAGGTGTTGCACTTGTTTGTACACGCAAAAGATGACAGAAGTAGCTGTGTGGAGAATAGAAATATATTTACCACTTTATAGAGAAGTTTAGATACTGCATAGGCCAACTTTCTTGTCTCCATAAAACTGGCCAATCGGACTGAATGTCAGATTGCCTGTTTCAGATAATTGCATGCAGCCTACGTCAGAAATGTATGGTGGGGAAGGGGTTTCAGACGCTGTTCAACCATCCAACAAGCAACTGGAAGCATACTGATGCCTTTACCTCACACTCAAACTCTAAACACTTTGCTCAATAGAGACTGAGGACAATCTCCTGTAGATCCACCTATAGAACAAATCCAAAGTCTTGGTGGTGTCATGGTGCTAGGAACATCCATTTTCAATGATTTAAAAAGCTCTCTCTGTGTTACAAAGTGATTTTCTTTATCTCCAGTTTGTTTCTTAGGTAAGGTGTGTCCTTGAAGCAAGACGTGTACACTTGTTAGCAGCTGTTGTCGCCGCCGTTCAGGAAACAACCTTGTATTAATACATCCCCAGACTATTGGTAGGTGGGGAGATCTCCGGTTGTCTGGTATCGCAAGAATACCTTTAGCCTATCAAACTTAACCACGGTGGTTGCAACTTCACTTCAAGTAAACAACAAAGTATATTGTTTGTAATTGTCTCCAGGACAACAGCCTTTATACGCCAAGCAGAGCAGGACCAACATTTTGGCTTTACACGATCACATTATGTCCTCTTTTGCTCCCTTTGAAGAAGAGTTGGAATTCTTACAGCTACTAGGGGTCTTTGTCACTTGAAAGGAAACATAGTTCATTACTGGGCACTTGCTGAGACACCCGATGCTGTCTTTTTTCTTAGGATGACAATCTCCTCAGGCAACATCCTGTGTTCTTTCTCCGGATTTTCTGTCTTCAGTAACTGATATACATTTTTTGTACAGTAGGCATGTTTGTCAGACAGATCAAAAATGTTCTTCCATCCTTTTTGAGTGATTTGCATTTTTCCTGCCTTGTACAAGTAAAACTGCATCAGAATTCTTTACTTATTTGACAAAAATAACAATATAACATTGAATGTGAGCCCACATGACTTGATATATATTATTAAAGTGGACATTATTTGTGTTCTCTCAGCCACTCCTTTCATCAGCTTCCCTCCCTTTTCTCCACACTCCTCATTGTTCACTCTCTGCATTTTTCTCTCCGCTACAGTGTGTCTCATCTATTTTCCTTCCCCCTCATCCTTCTTTTCTCTCTCTGGCACCCTCTCTTTCTCCTCCTGCCTCTGTCTCCACCTTCTCATCACTCATTCTGTTTCCTCCTCCATCACCCTCTCCGGACTTCCTCCCTCTCATCCTTCATTCTCTGCTTGCCCCTCACAACCCGCACTTTCTGCTTGAAATCCTTCATTCATTCAGTGTTCCTTTTAAGTGAAACACAACTCCCTCCGCTGTTTATGCATGATGCATCCTTCACACACGTGTCTCATCCTCCCGCTATCATTTATCACTCGTGTCCTCTCTGCCTTTCTCACTGATTCTCATCCCAGTGTGACTCTTAGCCTTTCACTTATTTCCAGAGTGACGTACATCTGTGTAATTTGTAGTGTTGCACGGTATATGCAGTGCTATTGTTGAGTTGGAAATTATGTTTTGCCTTTCTCTTCATGCATTCATACTGAAACCACTGTGCTAAGTACAGTTACACTGCTGTGCTAAAAGCAGAGGTCCTGGTCTGTATCTGTTCTTATATATTCTGCATCCATCCACGACATAAGGCAACGACAGCCTATATCATTTTAGCCTATTAATGAACAGTTTTCCCTCTTGCACCAAATTCAAGCTGTATTAAGGAGTCCACATTATAAAGCTGACAAGGCAAACTTGCTAGCAAACAGTTGCTTATTTACAATTAGAGGGAGCAGCATTAGTATTTTTTGGAGCTGTGTTTCTGAGCATCTGATGAATAAGTCTAACATTCATCCAGCCTTTAGCTCTGTTTTACTCTCCACTAACTCCTGAGGGAAGCTGCTAAAAGCTCCATTCAGTCACCAGGTGGTTGCAAGTTTTGTCAGTCTGTTGTCTGTTGCTTGGCAGGAAGCATACAGTGAGTTTATCACAACTTTTCAGCTAAAAACATCCGCCTGCTGAGTCTGACAACAGGGTTGATAAGAAAAGTTAGACTGAACCAAAACATTAAAGTTACAGGCTTTAAAACCAAAACAATGAGCTGAAAGATGCTAAAACTGGGGGGAACTGCAGAATTAGGTGCTAGTTTGGAGTTTGGGGGTCTGTCATGGAACCAGTAGTCCTTTGGTCCATACAAAAATATGGATTAGAGCATCTTTAAGTGGCTTTAAAGTACATACAGTAAATGCAGTACCAACTTGTTCTAACTATACAATGAAGCTACATGAAGTTCACAATTCAAAAGAAATATTGTAGATGTTACTTTTATACACATTTCCTGACGTATTTGGTATCTTCAGAAACTATGGGACTAGCATTTATAAATCACGGTTCTATGAGTTTTAATATTTTTTAAGTTTGTAATGACTGGCACACCAGTGGCTTGCTACTTGTTAAACTTCAAAACCTGTATCATAGCAGCAAGTGCCATGTCTCCCAAAGTGGCTAAATGGAAATTATTTCAAAGTGCCTTTTTATGACTTAAAGCAGTAAAATAAGCTTTCTTATAACACTGGAGATCAATTAAAGTTTATGAAAGGTGTAGTATGCATACACACTTGCTACAAAGACATGTTACTAAAGCATATTTCTGTCAGTGCTTCACTTTAGCTTTTCCATCATCTTAATTGCACCAAATGGCTTTCTACATTTTTTTTATTTAAATTTCGGTGCTTCTTTACATAAGAGACTGCAAAATGCTTCATAAATGAGCAACAATTCAAGCAATTTCTGAACATAATTACAGCATTACAGCACACTCATTCCAAAATGAACACTTAACCATAAATGGCTTTAAAATCCTTATACTCCATATGTTAGTGAATTATAATTTCATGTAAAAATAAAACCTTAGGTAAAAAATAATGTGTGTATGGTGACAGAGAGTTCCACTCGGGGGAAGCAGAGCAGGCCAAAAACGTTGTATCACTTAATAAAGTTTTCAAGGTGAACATGGTAGCAAACAGCTCCGGCAGACACAAAGCAACATTAGTACCTGACCTGACCAGTATTTACTCTTCTTTTAACTGTTTTAGTTTTGGTCTCCACTGACTCCTGGGGGAAATATCTATCTGCTAAATGCTCCACTATGTTCACCATCTAGTTGCTGACTTTAACTGTCTGCCGTTTGGTGATGGGTAGGTAACATACAGTGAGTTTATTCTGGCTGTTAGGCTTTAGCATTGAAAGATGGTTAAGGGACACTGCAGAGATGATAATTCTCGATAGGTTAATATAAGTGACACTTCTGACATTACACATATGCATTTGATCCATTAGTAATATAAAATATTGATTAATGCAGCTTTACTGAATTGTCTAAATGTTAACCTTTACACCTGTCCTCCTCCTAAATCTTGCCTGCATTCGGCATTTTGTCTGACGTTCAGTCTTGCTAAGATTTCTGATTGGCTGTCAGTCCTGTATCAATCTTTCAGACACTTTCTCCCCACAGCTCACACGTTATGTCTGTCACGTGCACTCTCTACCTCTCATTTATTCCCTTCCTCGCTGCTATTTCTCTCTCTTGTGCTGACATTAGGCCCATCAGGGATTTGCGACACCGTTCTCACCCTCTGCATGATAGGCCATTTGTTACAGCTAGAAGCTTTCCACTTCTGTCCCTCACTCCCCTTCAAACACACACACAGATACACACACAATACCTCCCACAATACCCATATCTCCCTGACCTTATCTCCTCTGTACAACTATCTCTGGAACTAATGTCAGCGACAGCTCATTTCAACACAGACACTGCTCACCCCAGCAGCTGTCTCACACTGTGTTTCACATTATCAACTGTATTAACACATCTCAATGTCAAATTAAGACAAAGACTTCAGCAACGATGGAGTCATCGTACAAGGCAGTCTAGGGACATCTGAAGTGACCACATGGGTGGAAAAGCATCATTATCACAGATTGTTCTTTTTTCCAAATGTTTGTTAACTTGAATTTCAGAAAGGAAGGTGGTCAGTCTTAAAAAAAATGGAAGAACAAGCTACAAGTTCAAATGATTAAATAGGCTGTCCAAAATATTATATATAAAAGGGAGACCACAAAGGACATATCTCTCTCTCTCTTCTCCGCTACCTGAGCATATACTTAACTATTTATAACTGCTTTTCATTGTGCATATTCTTTCTTCATCCATAATGGAAGATACAACTTTTTTCGATGAACATCTAGCAAGTATTACATTTTCACAGTGTAGGTGTGACATTTTGGGGGCGGCTGTGACTCAGGAGGTAGAGTGGGTCGTCCACTAATCAGAAGGTTGGTGGTTCGATTCCCAGCTCCTTATGCTGCGCATCAGTGTGTGAATGTAAATGAATGGGGTCATTTCTGTTTGTGATGAGTGTTTGCCATCACTATATTAATGTGGCATGAGTGATTGGAAGACTAGAAAGGTGCTTTACAAGTCCAGACCATTTAAAAATTTCTTCTCAGTAGGTTTTTAGGTATCGATGGACAGTAGCATGACTACATGTAAGATTCTGTTACGGCTATCATCAAAATCTGTCTTACAGTAGACTTGATGGACCATTTTGTACAAAACCAATTACCTGGCGCAGGTAGAAATATTACTAACACACTGCAGTATGATTGGCCTGAAATGTCCTAAATGACAAAAGGGAAAGCTGATAACAAATCACTGAAGTTATGCCTTTCACTGTATGAAGCAATGGTACTTCTCCGCAAAAGAGGCATGGGTTTTTAACAAATGCATTTCTTAAACAAACTGTGTGAACCGATTGTCCTGATAACAACCAAGCTAGCTTTGAGTTCAGCTACAGCTAAAAATGAGATTGACTAAAACGTAAAACTCTTTTTAAACGGATTCCAGACCTTTTATGTTCTTGGAAGGAGAAAAAAGATGAGACGCTGAGTGCAATGTGAATATTCTTTTAGTGGAAAGGGCCTCAAAATCTAATTTCTAAGAATATAAAGACAGTTTGCCATATTGCAGCTTATACTGAATGACCCCTATACTGACAACCTAATGTTTGGCTCTGACTCTGCAATGTAATTGGTTGGTTTTCAGTCATCTCTCTATTTAACACCTGGCATTTATTGCATAATTATGATCATTTTCAGGGTGTTACACTGATGTCACTGTTTTTGTTAATGGCTGGGCAGATGGTCAGAGAGATGAAATTAGTGCAATATAGTACACACGCACACTTTCACTGATGTGGTAGTTAAATATGAATAAGTCCTTACAGAAAACGCGAACGCATGCTCCTTTCGCTTTGTGAAAGTAAAAAAACACAATATGTTTAATAGTCATTCTTACAGGTAGGATTTAGCTGCTCCCTTGGTAGATGAAAGCATCTCGATTCATATGACATATTCATATGAATATTATATTCAATTTCTGCCAAGAGATCCTCCTAACACACTGGACCATTAATTTGAGTTAAAGGTGACCACACATTTGTTCTAAAAACCATTCAAGCATACTATGACTACTACTGGCTGCATCTTGTTGCACCAATTGAGTTTTAAATTCTTGTTGACAGCCTGCCAAGTGACCCATCACAGTACAGTGAAACAAAGCTGGATGCCTCAACAGCAGGCCACTCTGTGTACTACGGGTTTGAAGTGTAAATGTGTCTCTTTATTGTTAGACAAGAGAAAGCTTCTATAGCTCTGAATTATGAATATGTTTTTTTTTCTACTTGTGGATCAGATAAAGCCCCACATTCCACTGTCTTCCGATTGTAATTAGGACAACTTTTCCTATATGCAACTGCCATACTGTTTTATGAATGAAATACAGACGTATGGATGTGTGCTTCGCTAACTACTGCATGACTATAAACTGCAGTGAGTTTAAAATTTGATTATTGTCCTTAGGAATGCTCCCTGATGTTTTGTTCTAACTTTTAATTTGATTCTCTACTACACTACAGGTGTCTCTTCATCTCTGTCATTCACTTCTCTCTCTCGGGGCCCCGACTCGCAATCAGGTAAAAAAAAAAAGAGTCCCCCATGAGGATCCTAACGAATCCACAGGTTTGGGAAGAAAGGGGAACCGAAGAAAAGATTCTGGCCATCAATCAGCTTTACCTTGCAGCAGACCTTGAACATACTTTGCACTGCTGAATGTGTTTCCTGATGCTGCTGTACTGACCTTGCACTCACTTCTAAAGCTTCAAGAAAGAAGAAGATAAAGGAGGAGAGAAGGGATGAATGAGAAACAGAAAGACATTGAAAGAATGAGGGGTGTGGCTGAATGCCACACTGCTGGCCTTAACCTGAAATACTGCACGTCAAGCACTGCATTCACTGGTCATGGGTTATTAAAGAGCCTGTATTATGTGACACCTCCACCTATCATTAAGCTCTTCTCCTGTGACCTGATAGCTGCATGTACGCACAAATGCACACAGGGTAACACATGTAATGAGTTTTGTTCACATCCATCCATTAACAAGAGTCCTCAATATGTATTATGATTACAGGGAAACAAACAGCCAACCAGTCCTCCAAGACACACTGAGCACTGACTCCAATGACACGCCATACGCCGAGCACCACAAAGTGTGAGAGCACATCCGAACAGTTTAATCGAAAGCTGCTGTACAGGCTGCCAAGCATCCTATCACTGACAAAGACCAACAGCTTGTTCACGCACAAACATCGTAATGGATAAAAATTAAGCAGGGAAGGTGGGGCTAAATAGATGGATAGAACAAAAGGAAAGATGAGAATAGATGGAGGGAGAGTAGGTGGCTAAGCGGTGTAGAGGGATAGAGGAGAGAGAGATTACAAGATCAGTTGATGAGGAAAAGATGAGGTGACATCCGAAGCATGGGGTTCCCTTCATACCCCATAAGTCTCCATTCTCCGTCTGTCAGGCTGCATGCACGCGCACACACACAC